GGAAGATCATGAAGTCTCATAGATTTATTCATGATGATTGATTTGTAGGGGAAGGAAGGGCTATAATATGCCTTATATGACATGGAGAATCTGTTATGTTTTATTTGTTCAAAATTTTGTTTTATAATTTTCTCTATATACATTTTGTACTCATTTGTTTAATATTCAATATAACTAGAGGGACTGTACACTTACAGTTTTGTCTGTAATTGGTGACCTAGTTGTATTTTACCATCTGGCTAGAAATATTGGTATAATTAGCATATGTCTTTCTTTTGGACTTTCAAAGAGCTATTACAATCACTAAATTTAAATTCTGGTGGTGAACCACAGAGGGTGGGAATCCTTTTGACTAATTATAAAATAATCCTTTTTTTTTTTTTTTTTTTTTTGCTTATTCTGAAAGTTAACCACAGCATAGGGTTGGCACAGGACCTAAACGTGAGAGTTTATTCATTTGGTTCTGAACACACTTATACTACCCTGCTCATTAGAGGATTTTTGAATAGTTTTCTTAGTGATATTTTTTTTTAAAAAGGACTTAATCAATTCCAATAAGCTGGAAGATCAGTTTGTTTCCTATACATAAAACTTATACTTTTCCATATAAAATAGAAACTCGTGGGGAGGGGGGGTTGGGGGCGGTGAGGAAACTATATGTGAAAATGTTGGAACATCTCTATTCTTACTGGAAAAATTTGACAAATAAGAATGTCAGAAGATATGGAAAGGCCTGTGATGGTTGATTTTATGTGTCAACTTGATGGGCTAAAAGATGCCCAGATAACTGGTAAAACATTATTTCTAGATGTGTTCATGAGGGTGTTTCTGGAAGATTATTAGCATTTTAATTGGTAGATTGAGTAAAGATCATCCTCACCAATGCCAGTGGGCACTATCCAATCAGTTAAGGGCCTGAATAGAACAAAAAAGCAGAGCAAGAATTTACTTTCTTTGTTTGAGCTGGGACATCCATCCTATCCTGCCCTCAATATTGGCCCTCCTGGTTTTCCGGCTTTCATACTTGGGATGGAATTATGCCACCAGCTTTCCAAGTTCTCCAGTTTGTAACTGGCACGTATGGGACTTCCCAGCCTCCATAATCACATGAGCCAATTCCTATTTTACACACACACACACACACACACACACACACACACACACACACACACACACACTATTGGTTGTTTCTGGGGAGAAATCTAATGCAAGGTCTTTGCTTTTAGGCATGGAAAATATTATAAATGAGTTCAACTGATAGAGATGGAGCATTGAGAGTACAGTCTACTGGTTTTGGAAGCTAAGGCATGGCCAAGCTCAGAGTCCCCAAGGAAACATCTGCGAGGTGTTGATGGCATATGAGAATCAGAGTGTGTTATTTCAGAACCTAATGGTGATTTCTAATAAAGACATGAAGCTTATAATGCTACAAAGAGGGCAATTGAAAGTGGTCTTACTTGGATCAAGACTTAGGAGCCTGACCTTTCCAGTCCCTTCTCAAATATAAGAGCTGATTCTCACAAAATAACTTGAATTATATTCCTGAGTAAGCCAGAATTTTTAGATATCCTTGGACTATACTGCTTTTGTATCTAGTGTAGTGTTTTTCAAGTAAGTGTTCATGGATACTATCCAAAGAGATGTTAACATGGTCAAAGTAATTTTAAAACACACTGCATACTGAGTTTCTCATTTGGAGATTCCCAGTATAAATTAAAGACTCCAAGGAATCCTGCAGTAAACATGCATGTTTAACACTGTTGAACATGGTGTTCCCGAAACATAATTGGGTACACATGCTTTCTTTCTTTTTCACAAATCTAATAACATTATGAGGAACATGAGTTTGGAAAACAGTGTTGATTGTATCAATTAAGATGCTTTCAGCTGCAAATAACAGAAAAACCAAAAGAGAGTGGCTTAAAGAAATAGGACATTTTTAAAAATCACCTACTGAAAACCTAAAAGGACTGCTGCCATTGCTTCAGTGGGATAATAATGTCAGGGCCAGCATCTCCAAGATTCCTTTGTCCCTTCATTCATAGTTACAAAATGGTGGAAACAGCTCCCATCCAGGTGGTGGGGAGCTGTGGGACTATCAGCATTTCTGGTTTTTTTTCTAGAAATCAAAAGCCTTTCAGGAGTTACCAGGTCATCCCTAGCTCCAAGTGAGCTAGAATAGCCTCTGTACTGGAGGTAGGCAAAAGAGAAGGGGGTTGGCTATAGCTGGTGGGTTAGCCAAACCACAGTGTCTTCAACAATGGTAGAATTACTTTTAGAGATTTGCATTGTAGTTGTATGCATTCAGCTTCCACCAAGAGACACTGTTAGAACCAGTTACGTGAAATCTACTGGTGTTTCTCTAGTGAGAGCATTCTGTTCATGAGGATGTTATCCAAAGTAATAGAATATAATCTAATAAGACCCACATGAGAAACTCTTCTCAGGCTCAATGCTATCTTCTCCCTCCATGCCACGCTCATTCCAGAGACAATGTTTACCCCCACACAACCCTTTTGGTTCTATCTTAACCCTAGACACGACGTTCCTGTTATTGGAATAGTCTCCACAGTCCTGCAATTCTTAACATGCACTGGGGAAATGAGCAAAGTTCTTGCTGCTCCAAGACCTATAGATCCTTATCACCTTCTGAGACTTTTTAATACTTTCCAAACTTATTTTCTCAATAGATTTAAATATTTGCAAATAAAAGCCCCAGTGGAATTCTTTTTTATTCTTTTGAGTGCTAATATATACTTGCCCTGATGCAAAGAAGCAGTCTCCTGATATAAAAGGAAAAAATACAGGCAGAATTTATAAATTAGTATTTCAAAAATTATTTGGCCACACACACTTTACACAATAAACTCTTTAATCACAAATTAAGATGTTTGGTATTTAATGCCTGTCTCTCCTAACACATTGTAAGCTCCACTTATTTGATCAACACTGTTCAAGAATTCTTATGTTTCTCAGTTTTTGCTAAATTTTCACTCTTCAAAGCACTCCAATTCCTTTGCTCTCAGCAGACAAGTAGATGCAGTCTTCTCAGTAAGGAGAAACTGGTCAGTCCATTACTTCATACCTCTATTGTCATCCATCTTTTATTCTTCATTTTTGTCTGTCAGGAAAAAATATTTTTCCTTATTTTAGCCAAGGTTGACCCCTCCAGTTTTGCTTATGATCTCATTACTTTCTCTGGCATTTTCTATCATTAATCCTCTTTAACTCTTGTGCATTTTAATTGCTACCTCCATGTGGACTTCTCTTTGCCTACTAACATTTTCAAGTCCTCTCATCCTAAAACATTTTTAAAAACACTCTACAAACTATTGTTCTCCTCCTCTTCTCCTAGATTTGGAAGACTGATATATATCTGTGGCCTCTACTTTCTCACTATTTTCTCAACTACTTGCAAATTCACCTTTCTAGTAAAATCATTATATCCAATGACTATTTCTAAGTCCTCTTCCTCTTGGAAGTCTGCTTGTTAGACAAAGTTCAGATGAAACTCTGCCCTCTTTCTGGCCTCTCCTCCCATCTCAATCATACTAGAACTAAAAGAACCAGTTAGAATATCATTGTGATAATCTAGATCAAGATCAATAAACTCAATTCAGTCCATTATCTATTTTTACAAAGTTTTATTGGCACACACATTCATTTACATATTGTCCTTGGCTGTTTTCATGCTCCAATATAATAGCGGAATTGAGTAGTCGTTACGTGATACTGTCTGTCTTGCAAAACTTAAAATATTTAATAACTGGCCCCTTGTAGAAAATGCTTGTGGCCCCTTTCTAGATGATCTAGATAACCTAGATCCAAATGAAAGAATGTGTACCAGTAAGAATCAAGGGGAAAATGACTATACGATATTTAAGGAGATACCACTGATGGAAATTAATGACTAATTGGAAGAGGTATAGTAGAAAATTGGAAGAAAATTTGTAGAATGACACCTAGAAAGACTTCCAGTTGTGATGTGTGAGTAATAGTGCTGTGTTAACTAAGTAGATAACACGAAACTGGGAAGTTTGGGTAAGGAGATGAAAAAGGGAGAATATGATCATGATTTTACTTAAAGCTATTTAACATTTGAGGGTACTTCATATTATCGGAAAAAAAAAAAAGATAATTTCAGTGCTGAGGAGGAAAATAAAGGCTGAAGAGAACAATTGGGACTCTCTACATTTCACAAAAAGAAGATATGAAATGAAATATTTCCAATTAGAGTTTCAACACATCAACTTCTCCTTCCTATAGATCCTATTGTGAAGTTCTGCACACCATTTCTTTCTCATCATACTTCATACTTCTTACATGATTATTTTAGCATGTTCAGTTGACCCTCATTATTCAGATTCCATACTTGCAAATTCACCTGTTTGCTAAAATTTATTTGTAAATTTTAAATCAACATGTATGGTGCTTTTACTGTCATTTGCAGAGAGTGGCGAAAATTTTGAGTTGCCTGACACACTTGTTCCCAGCTGAGATTAAACAAGGTGACACTCTGTCTTATTTCAGCTCTCATACTTTAAGGTAAATGTCCTTTTTAATAGTCCAAATTTCTGCATTTTTGTGCTTTTTGTTAACTTTCCTATTTAAAAGCGCCCAAAACATAGTTCTGAAGTGCTGTGTAGTTAGTGTTCCTCAAGGCTATAACGTGCCTTATGGAAAAAAGAATGTATAATAGATAAGCTTCATTCAGACATGAGTCATAGTGCTGTTGGCCATAGGTTCAATGTTAATAATTCAACTATATATTAAATGTGTCTTTAAACAGAAACATACATAAAATGATGTTATGTATTGAGCAGTACACAATGTTATGAACAGAAGCTTTCAGGAACCTAACCTTGTATTTCCCCCAGGAGCAGTGCTTCCGTATTCATTGTTCAAGAGAACTTTATAGATATAACTATCATAAATAATGAAAATTGACTGTACCTTAGTGCACAACCAGATTATAAACTTCTTGAAAAATCTTATATTCATCTTTTTTAAAAAATTCAATTTATTTAAAAAAACAGTTCACTCATTTCTAGTGAATAAGAATTCTTTATCTTTATGCAACATGTAGTACAGTGCTATTCATCGACATTTTCTAAAAGTTATTTATTATTACCAGAGAACAGACCATTTTCAAGTTAATATGACTTTTCCAACAGACAGTGTCTAATAAACATATCTGTACTGGAAAGCAAGTTCAAAGATGATGTAGGTCAAAGGCTAGAACCTCTAGGCAAGGTTTGCTTTTAAGACTAACACACTGAGAAATACTTTAAAACAAAAGACAACTGCAAATGTAAAAAAGTACTTTTTAATTTTTAACCAAAAGGATCATTAAGCTGATGTAACACGTTTTTTTTTTTTACTTAAGTATTCATAATGTCATTTAACATGCCTTAAGCAACATGTTTATTTAATGAAAGCTGAGACAGAGGGCAGTTATAATTTGTGTAAAATTTATAACTAGAGTTTAAAGTTTAAACTTTTATAAAATTATAAGATGATAATTCCCCAAATTGGAAGTTAATTTTAATAATTTGAAATGAAAGTACAATTGTTTGTACAACAATAATTAAGGATAAGTTTCCAAGTCAGATATCAAATTGAAAATTCAAAAATAAATAGATGAGGAAACAGTTATAAAATAACATTTATAAATGTTGCTTAGAGCAAGGCAACTCAAAGTATGGCCAATGCACTATTTGCGATCCACTCAAAATGAAAAAGCAAGCTTGTGCCAGATGAAAATCAATTATGTCACTAATCAGATGACTTATTTTATAACATGACTTTCTTGATAAAGGAAGCAATGTGTTGATTTATATTTCGGCACAGGTACCTTATCTCATTACAACTGAAGAACAGGTATTGTGTATCTCTTTAAAGTGCCATTATAAGTTTACTACTCAGAGTTAGGTTAACTTTACTGTGAGAAAAAAATTTTTTAATGACAATCATAACTGTCAGCTATATTTCTTTTATTTTTTAACCCATATATCTAGTGATCCTATCCTATCCAAAAAAAAAATTAAACTTTATAAATTCATTAAAATTTAACATTCATCTTAAGATGTGTTTAGATGTTACCAACATCTATTCACTTCAGAGGGGCTTTCTAGGTTCCTACGTTAGTGAGCTATATCATGTTATTGATAGACATTTGTTTTCAATCTTGAGAGAAAAAGAATAAGAGTTGAGTCATTTCTCTCTAAAGATTGGTTTATTTTCACATTTCAATCAGTGAAAATATTTAACTTTATCCTTATAAAAAAATTGTATTTTTAAACTGTGCAACCACTAGTTGCTTTTTTACAATAAAAATTGTTAGGAAAAAGGGTTTGGAAATTTATAACTGTGTATTCTATTAACTAAGGGGAAGTATATAAAATATTTTAAAATTCCTAAAAGAAAGTTGGTATAAAATATTTTTTTAAGAACTAGCTTATAATTCAAAATTCCAACATGTCTTAATTTTTATTTTTCAGTATGGCACAATTCCTCTAGAAATTTAAAAATATAGTATGATCTTTTGTAAAAGTTATTTCTTCTTTCTCCAATGACTTATTAAGCTTACCTACATTAGCTTAATACTGAAGGCAAATAAATGAACCAACAATTAAGAAAAACTCATCCGTTTTACATATGCAAGAGCCCAGATTAGCTTCTATAATGGCTAGTTTATTGACCCAACAAACTACTTCTTAAAGAATTTAAATGTATATTTACATGTCATAAGACAAGATCTCCTTTGGCACCTGAGTTGAACACAATATAGTAGAGCCAAAAATCTCCAAGAAAAAGTTGTTTAAAGGCTATATTTTATCTATCTGTACATATATACATGGACCTATACATATACACATACACATATGCATACACAGACACATAAGTAGAAATAGCTTTCCTTTAAGAAATGCTGGAGCTGTAAAAGAAACTGACCGTTTAACAAAATAAAGTGAACCGACAGTTATTAAAAAGTTATGTTATTTGGAGTCTTACCTAATTTCAACAAGTTAAAGGTTTTAGAGTAATATATAATTCAAATGGAGAAAACTCAAGATTTTTTTGTCAAAACAGAATTTCTTTTGATACTAACAAGAAAACATAAAAGACTTTTTAATAGTCACCAGGTGGAAAGTCAGTAAAGATTACCCCAAAAGGAGTAAATTTCCCCATATTAGGACTGAACATAGTCATCGGCCACTGATTAAACATTCTGCTGTCCCTAAACTCATACTTTTATTGGTCCCAGCAAAAGACCACTGAAGGCCACTCCTGCAGATCGCCTTCTGCTGAGCCTCATTACTCACTAGGAATTTTACACAAGAACTTTAGAAGAGTTTGATGTCATATAGTTTTATGATCACATCCACCTTACTACAGTTGACTTTGGCATTGTGTTAATAGTTCTACTGGTTCTGTAATTTTTTTTATTCATACTTTTAAAACTCTGAATGACTAGCTGGTATTCCAAGACTTAGAAGACATTTGAAATTGCCTAAGTCTGTCAGCATTTTTTTCTATGCTCAATTAATAAATATGTTTGGCTAACAAAAAAGGGAGCACATTTGGTTTTACCTAAGTATCTTCTACTCTAGAAATTCTGGAGGATGATAACCCTCTACACTTGTATACCATATATTCTCCATCTGTCTGACTTCATTAAATCTGAAGGGTGTTGAGAATGGGCAAAAAACATCTGAATTAAAAAATGTCATGCTACTCTCTTCTCTGCTGTAACTTGTATAAGATATCCCTAATCAGGTTTCCAACTCTCTCTTCCCTCTGGTTAAAGGACCTATCTCATATAGACCACATATAATGGAAATCTTATGTAGTCTCAAAATATTTGTGAATAAAAGACATTTTCAAATGTAAACTCTCTTGAGCATCTATAAAACAGTACATAATCTTCCTTAAATGTGACAGTGTTATCCGAAACAAAATTTTGTCTCAATAGAGGCATGGTATAGAACTTACCTTAGAGAATCTATGAAATTCAAATGTCTTCATTTTGTTCAGTTTATATCAAACATAACTCAGGTCACTCTTTTTCCTGATATATAAAACACTTTGATAAACCCATCTGAACTTCATTTCTTCCAATAACAAGTAAACTCACATGCACACTTCAATTTTTGGTCATATATTTTAAATATTTTCTTCTCTGCATAGTTGATATCTCAGAATGGGAAATGAAATTATGCTAGTAACTAGTAATTTAACAATCCCCTAAATTCTTCTATGCGAAAGTGCATTTACAACATAAACATGCCACATATAAAGCTACAAACCACAATTTCACACTGGAGTGGATTTCAAATTCCAAATTCAGTCCAAAGGAGTCAAAGAGAAAATGCTAACAGAGCAAATCTGAAACAAGTTCATGAGGATTGGGCAATGAGTCATCAAAGCGAAATCTTTTGGAAACCGTGCTGCTATCCTCTGGGATATTCTCTTTGTCTTCTCGATCACTACAGGTTCCATTACAAGAGGATTTAGGAGTCTTGTCTTCAGAGGACCTTATTGTATGATCCTGACTTTGAGAGAAACTGGAAGTTTCTTCAGGGTGAAACAAGTTTGCAAAGTCCCATTGCTGTAGCCAAGAATGAGAAAGGCAGATTTCTGCTGTTGGTCTTTTCCTGGAAAGAAAGCACCGAGGGAAAATTGAGAACTAAAAATCAAGTTGGAAATGTCTGCAGTTCAACATGTTTTTTACTTATTATGAAAAGAACATGCTTATAGCACAGAAAGAAATAATAATAGGAAAACTGGAACACCTAGAAAATTTTTAAATTCTGACATGTGCTAAAATGTCAATATATCATGGAACTTGTTGATGATGCTAGTCAAAAAGCCTAAGAATGTATGTTAGTCTCACAAATAAAATTAGTAAAATTATAAAGTCTCAGATTTACAAATTCTTTGAAGGAAAATATATGTAAGTAATTTATAATCTCTATTATTATTTTATGTTCTTAAAAGCAGTAACTGCTAAATATTGAAAACAAAAGCCACTTCGATGATGTTTATCTAACATTTCGAGTTTTAAAATTTTGTTTTAAATTATGAAAGTAATATGGTCAAATATCATGATATTTCACAAGGAAAGAATACACCTATCTATACTTAGAACACCAACCTTCACACAACCACCATTACCATTAGAAACAGTTTCCTTAGTCTTTGCTTTTATGTTCATTTTTCTATTATAAAAAATTAATGTGTTCATTATAGAAATTTTAAAATATAGGTAAAAAATATTTAAGAAAATGAAAACTGCTTATAACCAGAAACAAATAGTATTACCATTCATGTCCAAAATATAGCCAGTGAGAGTCTGTTTGGACCTGCATTAGTCAATATAATAATTAAAAAACCTATGAGATTTTTAAAATTAAACAAAGAAACTGAGTCCTTTTGAAGATTAAGTAATTGTCAGAAATAAAAAACCTAACAAGTAGCAAAACTGGGATCCCAGCCCAAGGCACTATAACACAATTTCTGCATTAAATATAGCCAGGTCATTTTAAAGTAAATAGGGCTGATCTTGGTAAAGAAAAGGGAGGTCAGTCTTTTCTTTTCCTGCTTTGAAGTTGCCAAGGAGTGAGGTAAGAGCCCTACATCACAGTTCCAAGTCCCTTCTTTACAAGGAGGTCAAAGAGCATCAGATCATCTGCAATGGATAATTTGTACTTGTTATATAACTATAATTATTAAAATGCAAATCATTCACAGCAAAGACTTAGCATAACCAGTCACCTGTACTGTAAACCTTCTATTTCTAATTATTTTAGAGAATTTCCGGGATTAGTTGTAGCTTGAGAGAAAAATAACCCAAATATTTTCTTCACTCCAAAATTTCCTTTGTGTATTTTATATTTTCTCCATTTGAAGTTATGAATTTAATGATCACTCATAAAACATCTCTCCCCACTTTACCTGACAGCATACTTGTAGTAGTTTTATACTGTTTTAGAATGTGTTTCTTAACAGACATGTATTATTTATTTCGCAATAGCATTTAAACAAATTCATGTTATTACTTACTCTGGATTTTTTACTAAAAGGCTCTGGATAAAGTCTGTGGCCAGCTGGGAAACTGATGAGAAAGTTTCTTCTGAATAATCTACATTAACTTGAGAAATATTGAGGTATGTTTCTTGATTATCTTCTCCCACAAATGGGGATGTATGAGTTACCAGCATATAAGCTATTATGCCAATATTCCTGAAAAAGAAGAGGAATTTAAAATGTGTTAATCTTAAAACATTTATATAAAATAAAATTGATACTCAATCTATTTCTGTCCTCAAAACTTGTACACTTAAATTACAGACTTAAACTGCTTTTCAAAGTTCCTATATTATAAAAATGAAAATAACTGTGTTACTTCAAAGTTTGTCTTGCAGAAAAAGAAAATGAGAATGCATATGTGTTATATAATTATAAATATAATGTATTAAACATATATTATCATACCTACAGTCTGCCCTTCACACAGACACTTGCTAATGAGTACACAAAACTGCTCAAAGAGCATTTCCCAAATGGTGTCCAATGACACAGTAATGATCTGTGAGACATAAATAAGGGTCTTACGCAGAGTCTGCAAATTTGGCATAGAGTTAGGCAGAGAGATTTTTGTTTTCACCTGCAAAACTTTTCAGTCTTAAATATGTTAATGACTAGTCCTGTACTAAGGATCCAGAAAAAGACAAAATATACAGTACATGTTTCATCCACTTACTTAGCCACAGGATCCTTTTTCTTTGGCAAACCCATTACAGTTCCATAGAATACAGGGAATAAGTCTAAAATCAGATGCGCTGTGGACCCAACTAAAGTACCACTGTCAGTTCCAATTCTGCTCCCTATGATCTTCTCTCTGTGCTAGCTACAAAAACTCTCAATACCCTGGTTTATGAGAGTACACCTTTGATGATATACTCTCATAAAACTAAACTTTTGCAGGGACCTGACCTCATTCTTCTGCTTAGTAAATACCTTCCTAGTTCTTCTATGGCCTAGATCAAACGTCTCCCATCTGGTGCTTGTCTGCTGCTTCCTCCAAGCTTATTAAATAGTATTTTATCTTTATTATGGAACATGTAGCACAGTACTGTGCCTATTTTGTTCTTTTATTAGACTGAGTCTTCCTCCAGGAAAGGAATTTTCCTATTTATTTCTGTACCTTTGGCTCACAGCAAAGTGTTGCTTAAAAAGAATAGACAGGTAAATGTTTTCCTATGGCATAATAATAACACTTGAATAAAATCTTTTCAAGAAAGACTTATTATTTACATTTGAAATCAAAGAACCCTGCAATATATACTACCCAACTTTCAACAAAGGCATTTAGGTAAATAACGATATCTTACCACATATCTGTTGCTGTGGTAATAGGATCATAGTTCAGGATTTCTGGAGCTGAAAAAGAAAATAAAATCCAAATTCAATACTGACAAATTTAAAAACATGAAAATTATTTTACATTAAATTAAAACTGATTTAATTTTAAAGAACTAAGATCGAAAGAAATTTAACATATTAACTATCCTGTTAGACATTTAAATATACCTAATGTTCAGCAACTTATATAACCACATGATTCAACAGCACCAGTAGTGTACCTGGTAACTACACAGTCTTTTTTTAAAATAAGATTAATCTCAGAAAAAATAATTATAAAGAAGAAAAATGTTACAAACTAGAACTTTTTTTAAATTTTATTTTATTGCTGTTAGAAATTAGTTTGTGTTATTTCAATAGATTGATTTAAGTTTTTCTTTTCAAGGTAAATAGAATCACATGCATTTACAATGACATTATGAACAAATTATGCTTCCTAGAAGTGTTTTAGTTTTTCAAGTAGATTAAATATCCCTTTTAAACTACCAAGAACCTAATTGCCTAAGCGATTAATTTCCTACTGTCTCCTCCCCTGCCAAAATGTTTTTAAAAGTGCAAAATAAATCCTCTATACATTTTAAACATTACCATAAATTTCAAATTTATAGAGTCCAAATTAGGATTTATACTTGAATAATAACTTTTTTGTTTCACAGTATGGTTTCATAATTTCTCCAAGAGAATTTTTTCCAAAGCCTAACAGTTTTGTTAATAAAGCCTGTGGTCACATGTATTGTCAGCTGCCATTGCGCCACCTACCACCTTTACATATATTTCTGTGAGATGTGTTATCTATAATTACAATAATTTATCTATAATTACAATAGCCTCTATTAGCATTTGAAGTTAGGAATTTGCTTTTTCATTTTGGGAAGTCAGATGCCTAGATGAGTAGCACCTTGTTTTGTTTAGTTGTATCTTTTCAGTGCCTGCACGGGGATAGCAATATAAGCAACAATAAAAAAGCATAAAAAGATTATAAGTATAAAAGTATAAAAACTTTAAATTTATACGCTGCTTCATACAACTTAAAAATCTTTCATCTGCATAATCTAATTTGTTGTTTTAGAACAATATTCCTAGACATATAATCGCAGGATTTTTTTGTCACCCTTCTTTAAAATTCTTTTACAACCATAGGCAAAATACCACATTTTAAAGCAGCAGCAACAAACAACAAGGAGTCCTGCTAGCAATTCCTGCAAACTGAAGATATCAACAGCTTTAGATTTGGGACCAGGACAGAAATAGAAACTACCTCTATCCAACAGCCTGGCTTCAAATACAATAAAGGGCCATTTGATTCTGTTTTCCTCTTTTTTCATTTTTTCCTGCTTCCTAACTTCCCTTTGACCCATTTTTCTTTGTGTACAAAGCCTTTACACACAAATATTAAACTTCTGAACTTATATATCCAATGTCCTATTGTTACGAATGTCTCAATAATCCTACATTCACTACAGTTCATTCAAGTGTGTCATATCTGAATTTCAATGCACTAAAATACTTGAACCAAATACATCCTGGAATTACATGCTCTAAAATATAGTTTTACAGAGGTATCATTTAGTTAATAAATTTCAAAATGGTGTAGAAAATACGAAGGAATTCTTACCTAAGTATTCTGGTGTTCCCATGATTTCCCGAAGTTCACATGCATTTCCTATTTTTCGAGACATTCCAAAATCCACAATTTTTATGTCCCCAAGAGGGTATATGCTGCTCAATAATATATTCTGTGGCTAATAAAGCACAACAACAACAACAACAAAATGGTCAGTAATATACAAATGATTAAAGAATACTAGTCTCAGATTGAAGGTAGATTAAGGGGAACTTATTGCTTAGCTATTATATATTTCACTGAGTTGTTCACCAAACATTTACTAAACTACTATTTAGGAGAAACTACATAGTTGATGATAAAAACAGTAAAAAATACATTCAAAGAAGATTCTTGGTTTGGAGGAAAAAGATGGATACATACATTGATTAACTGATTGTAAGATATACTCAGTATTAAGATTAGTGAATTCTGCCCAAAAGAAGTCCAAAAAGCCTATGCAGTAGATATAATGCTTAAGCTGAATCTTAAAGGATGAATAGGAATATGCCGGCTAGAAAGGTATTCTGGGGAATAAGCACAAAAGGAGGCATGAGGGAATAAAAATGCATACATTTCCAAAAACAAAATGGTTTAGTATGATGGTTCTGAGTCTGACTGTTCCCAGGTTTGTAGCTTAGACAGTAAGAGAGTAAGATGCATGGTAGGATGTATGGCAGGAGGATTGTATAGAAAGAAAAGAGTCCAATGTTCAAAAGATAAGATACAGATTGATTCAGATTTCAAGGTCTTTGAGTGGCTGTGGAAGAAGGATAATAACATGAGAGGTTGAAATGGTATCAGGGCATGAATGGTCTTGGGGGGGAGGACGCGGGTAAGGAGTCAAAAGATTGAAAGCCTCAAGAGAAAGATAAATGAGTATGATGGAAGTAAAACAATGAGGACTAGTGGGACGGTATCTACAGAGATAGAGGTCAGAATTGAGTATTTTAGAGAAGACAGTTTAATAAGGTGAGAAGATCCAGGATGTAAGCATGGGATGGAGTAGAATGATGAAGCCTTAAAATATAGAAAAATGATGGTTTTTAAGAGCCTGGTGATTAATGTGAGCTGCTCACATATACAGTCTTCTTCTCTCTGCCAATATAAAATTAAGTCCATCTGGCAAACCCAGTGCAGTCTAGACCAGCATGATGACTACTGTTTCCTACCAATACCAGCCTGCAATTGTACAAACTAAGAGCAGAGGAGGAACAGAAGTATAGTTTTATATAAAACCACATTACCTTACCTTTAAATCAAGGTGTACAATGTTATTCTGATGTAGATAATAAACTCCTTCAAGTATTTGTTTAATGAGTCTGATAATGTCATTTTCAGAGACCATTTCAGCCAGCTCAGGTAAACACAAGTTGAAAATTTCTCCACCTGCGGCACTGAAATAAAATTAAAATAATAGAAACTTGAAAAATTATTGCTTAAAAATGATACTTTTAAGTGCTGTATATCTGTTAACTAGAAGACCACAGCCATCTAAACTTTAGTCTCTATACATACACATTTAAGGAGTGGAGGGCAGGCATGGGAGAGATCTTTAAGGAATAAAGTAAATGACAAAAATATTTCAAATTCTGGATACTAATATTTGAATATTTGATAAATAAAATTGAATTGCTTTATAATTCAATAATAATTGCCTTAACACTGCAATAAAAATAATAGCTAAACTATGCGCTCAGCTCTGCTGAGCCTCTATTTTATTCATTTGTATATCTGTATCTCTATCGATATAGATATTTAGATATAGATATAAATATAATTTATTTTGATCTTCATGACAACCATATGAGATAGGTGGTTATTATTCCCATTTTATAGATGAAGAAACAAGTACCACGAAGATAAGCAATTTGTTCAAGGTCGCATAGTAAATGCAGGGGCCAGAATCTGAAGCTGTATAATATGAGTGAGATTTCAAGGTCCTCGAGTGGCTGCATTCTTAACCAATATTCTGTTTTGCAGCTTCACAAAGAATACTTGTGGCTAAAACCCAAATCTTTTATTTATTTATTTTTTTAAGAATTGAAAATCTAACGAATGTTGACAAAAGGCATAAGAAAAAAAAAATCCCTAGATTTGGAATCAAATGATCTAAATTTAAATCCTAAATCTGTTATTTACCAGCAATATATCTTAGGGTCAGTCACTTATTTGAGCTTCCCCATCTGGAAAACAGAGATACCACTGAACTCAACGGAGTTTTTTGAGGACCAAATTTAAATAAATAAAATAAAATTTGTCAGTCAGGCATCATGCAAAAAAAAGAAAAAACAAACAAACAAAACCTAGACGATTATTCATCAAATTTATAAGGTATGTCTGAGAATATCTCAAGTAAAGCATATTCTATGTGATAAAAGAGGAACTCGGTCACTCTAGAAAACACTATTTCATAAATTTCTTTGGTTCACTGCTGTATCCACAGCATCAAGAAGTGTCTGGCATGTTGAAGGTGTTTAGTAAATGTTGAATGAATGAATGATGGACTAGGCAATCATTCTTCAGAATATCCGAAACTGAAATTCAGACGTCTCAGTGATTGCCAAGAGGAAGAAGCATGTCATTATATACTAGGAGACATGAGGGGAAAAAATGGGGGTTAACAAATTTGAGTCTCACACTGAAAGTCACAGGACTGACCCTTATATTGCTTATGTAATTTGTAATTGAGTCATCTGTACAGAGCATGCCAATTAGAGGCCACAGGGATTTGCTGCTTTATACTTTGTTTGTGATAGTTCAGAGAAAACTGTAGGATAGCTGGTAAGGAACAGGTATGAGAGCTCCTTTCATGTATACTTCACATTTTGACACCCAAACCCTCACATCTCCCAAAAAATTCATGAGAAATTAACTTTAATATTTGTCTCAAGGTATCATGGTAAAGACAATTTGAGTATGAAAAATTTAGTTTGCTATAAAATTGATAGTAATGAACTCCAAAGTAAGGCATAGAAAAACAATATTAGAAATTCATGTTCATCTAAAAATATATTAATTAATCTTTATGAATAGTTAATAGACTACCCCTAGTGACCCCTTGGTCTGAATATCAGATGTTTACTGATATTGCGTATCACAACTACGCTCAAGGTCTCCTGAGGGAAAAGGAACTCCACAGGCCAGATTGCCAGTGACACCCTCACGCTTTCCCTTTCTGGTTACATTACTTAGCTTTAACCAAACAATCCTCTCAAAATAGAAAGTGGTCTAAATATATTCCTGCAAAGACATTGCAGATATTACTAATGTAACTGTAAGCGAATAAGAAAATGAAGATGATACATTAGATTCTCTTAAAATAAGTTCTTTGATAGGCACTTTACAAGATATATCTAATAAAAATTCAGACCAAATAATTTGAGATTATAACTATATAAAATATGGATTTATATCCACTGTTTAGATATGGAAAATACTAGAAAGATCTGAATTCTTCATATACACAGCAACATATACTGCTGAGGTGAGAAATTCATTCTTGAACACCACAAAAATTTATGTACTGACATTTTACATTACATTCATTAAAGTTAACTCAATAGCCAGAACCCTTCACTAATTCTAAAATTTGAAACAAAATACAAGAAAACAACTGAGAAGTATGTAAAAGACTTCCCAGTGCCTAGAACAAAAGAGATAGGATAGTAGATTGCTTATGGGGAGTCTATTGAAATCGAGATTTCCTAGGGTTCCATTGTGGCTCTGCCATTCACAAGCTACCTGAACTGGGACAAAATGTGCCTTTGTTTTTTCATAATGATACATAATGAAAAATGATAGCTCCTACTTCATTGGATTGCCGCAAGAATTAAGTCAGATAAGCCATGTAAAGTACTGAACACAATAGATCAAAGCAGATCATCTGTATAAGTATTCATCACAGTGTCTGACACACAGTAAATATTTAGTAAGTATTAGCTCTTACTGCAATGACAACAAATATTCCATATCTAGCTAATATCCAGCCTTTTTGAATTTTGGGGCTTCTTGTTGAACTCTGATTATGAAGGCAATATAAAAAGTCTTTGTTAAATTGAGATTGTCTGATGTGACAATGCCATCCCAAAAGGGTAAGGCATAGTAATTAAACCGAAGTGATAGTAATAAATTTTAGTAGGTCTTAGTTGTTCTGGTAAGAAATCAAATATATTAATCCACATATTTATTGAGTGCTTGCTATACTTCAGCTCCGAGGTACACAGGGTCCCTAAGAGTTCTGCCTTTATGGAACTCAGTTTACTGGGTAGAGTTGAATCAATTTGCAGGATATGAACAAGGTCCATCTATAAAATGTACATGTCAAAACTTTCTGATACATTTTATTGTTGCTATTTAGATGAACCCCCAAAAGAAGATTTTATGAAGTAGACAATATTCCTGTGTATATTCATCCTCAAAACCTAGAATTCCATTACTGTTTCGGAAAAACGTTAGCTACTTTTCACATAATCAAACATGCAGATGTCACTCAAGTAGATAACTTTTTAAAGGCCAGTTGAAGAATCCAACAGAAATAATCACAAAGTGTGTGAAAAATAAAATCATACTGGTAGTATTCTGGGCTCTTCTGCAATTCTAATTTGTTTTGAAGGGGCTATGACATACCTTTTTGGTACATTAGTGTTCTGGGAAATGTACACAGTATTTATTCTTAAATAAACCACTTGTCAGTTTAACAATTTGCAAAATAAGCATTTTTATTTAAAAGTTAAATCTAGACAATCAACTTGCCTGATATAAAAACATTGATTTTTTTTATAAATATATAAACAAATCTCTTCATTCTTAAGATAACTGAATACTAAAATTAGGTTAATATACTCTTAATTCAAAAAGCAATGATGCAGATTAGCTACCAAAAAGAATTACAAAGAATTATAAAGAATTATGCATTTTTCTAAAACAAATACTTATCTCTTTAGTTTATTATAAAATAGGTTTTTTTAAAAAAACTATCAGAATCTAAAGCATACTAAACATACTATAAAAACTATCAGAACCTAAAGCATACTAAAACATACACTTAGCTAATCTCTTCCAATTGTTGCAGATGTCAAACACATATTTTACATATTTATAATAAATATGTTAAGACTGTCATGCATCACAGGCACTATTTTAGAGTCATATGCCAATATACTGGTTAATAAACCAGTTAGCTTAAACATGCTATATCCCACCTAACGGATTATTGAGTATTGGGTGTTTTCAACTTTTCACTGACTTGTGGGAAGAAATATATTTTATTTTTAATTGCTATAATTCCTAATATACTGTTCTGCATATCACATCTACTAAATAAATGTGTTTCTTTCACGAACACTGTGCTAGGTATACCTTCATGCAAGTTTACCTTTCTATTCTCCTTGGGTCATTTCCTTGGATGGGTTTTTCAAATAGATGGACAAAATATATAAATGATTTCAATTCTGTCTGCCCATGAGATTGTTTTCTAAAAAAAGTCATCAAATTTCTGTGCCATTAGCAATGAAAGTATACTTGTATTACCACATTCCCCAAATACTGTATTGTCATTTGTTCATTCTGTGCTATTTAATTAGTTTTAGTTTATGTGGGACTGTACCTTTAGCCTTGTGAAAAGAAAATATTTGAATAGAGACTATGTCCCTCTAATATTTTACCAACAGGAATCTTTCCAAATTCTTGGCATACTTTTATCATCCTTGTTCTTGATATTTCAAGTCACCTTATCTCACTAATTAAAATGGGTACTATAAATTTACTTAAATTTATTGAAGTGCATACTTACTATTCTAACACCAAAATGATTTCACTTGTGTTTTCATAGACTTCATGAAGATTAATCACATGGGGACAGGATTTTGCCAATTCAAGTACAGCAATCTCATGTAGAATCTCTGCTCGACAATCTTGTCCTCTTCTTCTCTTTTTTAGAAATTTTGCAGCATATTCTTGACCAGTAGATTTTGATATACACTGTCTAACCACAGCAAATTTTCCTCTGGGGAGAAAAATGATGACGATCAGTTTTAACTTTTCCATAAAGAATAATATTAGTATAATACAAATATTGATATACTTCCCACTTAAAGTCAATCCTTTCAAAGAATAATGCCACGGAATTTATCTTTGTTTTCTTAACTGTTGCATGTATTTTTATAAAATTTATAGTACTATCACATAAAAATGAAAATGGCAAATGTAACAACAGGTTAAGACAGTATTATATTTGTTCTTCACTATTAATATAATACATTATCATTGTAGGGGGAGATCACATTTGCATGCCAACTCCATACCATACTCTTGATATAAATTGTTTAAGTATCACAACAGTCCTATATAGTAAATGCTATTCTGTTTTGCAGCCCCCAGAGAGGATATGTATCTTGGTATATTTCCAAACCCCATATCCTTAATAGGGTATCACATTAACTCTCTAATCAAAATAGCTTTCCTTCAAATACAAAAAATTAAAATGAATGCGAAAATGGGTATTTGACATTTAATTTTATTAGTGTAATCACTTTGCCTTTCAACACCTTTTAGCAAGCTTTCTATCACAATTTGTCAGTTGATTTACCAGTAAATCTTTTAGTATTGCTTAGTAGTTTATGAAGCCTGTAATAGATACCAAAGATATATATATATGTACTATGGAGAGTATCTAAAGACACTTCACCATCAACTAAGAAAATTAATGGTTATCAACAGCCATATACAAATGCACTAATTACAATCATGTTTATCATTTTAGGAATAAGTACGCGCTTAGCTGTCTCCAATAGAAGTAAGCAGCATCTCAGCCAAAATTTAAAGACATTGGCAAATGTGTGTATTCTTCAACCTATAGTTGCCCAAAATCTAGTTTCCCAAAGACCTAAAGCTACTTTGAGTAATAATATTTTAAGAAACTAAAAAACGCTATTATTGACTGCCTGCTCAGAAAAATATACACATGCCCTTAAATAGAAAGTTTTACATACAATTCAACAAGAGGGTGTTAAGATTTCAAAATTCATTCACAAAGCTTCTAAGCCTGAGTTCAGGGAATCCAAAATTAAGAACCTTTATCCTAAGGCTCAAATTACTCTCTAAATACTAACAAATCAGTTATAAATAAAGGATCTTCAGAGACTAACTTCTGTTCCACAACTCCTCTTTTTCTAATTTCCCTTCGAATATACTTCTAACATAGCATATCAGGTGGTTAGCATGGAAAACTATTTTTAATACATTTAGTATTTGGATTTGGGGTGGGGCAAAATAAATTGATTATATTTTACTGGCTAGTCTCAAAACCAGGATGACAAAGATTTCTACTCTTGATTTCCTAAATTTCCTCCAAATTGGTGCCTGTGAAATATACTGGAAATCAAGTTGCAAAACTATAGCTACCAATGCCAAAGGAAAAAAAAAAAATTGACCAAGCTATAATTTGACTTTTCTACATTTATCAAAATATATATCAACTCAATAAATTTGCATGCAAAACCTGACTATTTGAAAGAAGTTTTCACTTATGATTTGATATCTTTAACTAGATATTTTCTTACTGTATGTAAAAGGAATACAAATGGATGCATTTTAATGAGCACACTAAAGAGTTAATAATTTCCTTAACTTTATATTCAAACCACTCATGTTTTATAGATTTTATACTGGATAAACTGAATCAGACTAAGATTAAACATGAAAGTTCATATATGAAATTGAAGTGCCAAGAATTAAACTGTAGAATATGAATTCCTAGCTTTCTGTTGTAACACTACAAAACAATCCCTCCCTTTAAGTTATGTTTTTTTAAATGTAACTTACTTCTCACAATTCTTACTTAGATTTAGAAGTAAAAATTTGTCTAAAACGAAAAGGAAATTTTGAGTTTTATGAAGAAATCCACCTTGTAAAAATTAGGAAACAGAAACTGAGTTAACCAAGAACACTGGGTTTATAGCACCAATTGTGATAATTTAATTCAGCTGTAATTTTATGAATATATCTACAAGCCAGAATTTTCTCAGAAACAAAGAGCAAAATTAAATAATAATGATTTTTATCTGTTTCAGGTATTCTAAAGATGCCTTACTTAAGTGCAGTTCTCATTAATCCAGGGCAAAAGTGACAAAATGACATTGGTAATTATTTGTCAATATTCACCACTAACTAAAAGCCCCACAAAGGCAGAGACCCTGTGGGTCCTAATTACCACAGTAATTATAAAAGCTATACTTTGCTAACTAACACATAATAGGAACTGAAACATCTGTTGAATGAATGCTAATTATGTACCCACTATACAACCATATATTGTGCTATTTTGAATTCTGTACTTAAAGCATTTAAATTTTTAAAGCTTACTTGCAATTCCAATAAAATTTTACATATGTTAATTTATATACTATTAAATAAAGTAAATATTTTTACCATAATTACCAGATGACTTTGGAAAAAAGACAAGTATTTGTTATCTACCGTAAAATGTTAATTGTGGTTCAGAAGTATCAAAAATAAACTTCCATATATAATATTCCTATATCAAATTTAACAGAAACATATTTAAGAAAATTTAAAACCCTTAACAATAATAATTAATTCATACCCTAAAAAGGCAAAGCTGACTAGATTTCTCAGCAGTGAAAGGTCTAGTAGTTACCCTTCTGCATTCTAGAATAGACAATAAAATGTGAAAGGAAGGGGGAGGGTAAGCCACAAAGGAAGCTGACGTTTATTTCTGCCTCTGCCTCACCCTTCTGACCACAGAAGGCCTATGAAACCTTGCCTCAGTTGGGGGAAGGGTAGAGAAACCTTACCCAACATGTTAAAAAACAGGAACAATGCAAAGAGTTTTGAGAATAGCCAAAAATGAACTGTTAACTTTACATGTTTTTTTAGTTTGCTAAAGGACAATTAATTCTAAAACTAACATCTTAAAATTAATAAAAAGGCGATTGATTTAGAAAGGTAACTTTGTAGTTCACCACATGCTAGAATTATACATTTATATACTTTAAAATGTACAAACCTCAGGAAAAATAAGATTATGATCCTAATCTCCATTTCACAAAGGTATAGAATATTAAAATTGGTAACAATATTAAAAGAACTCAAAGCAAAGTTCTTGGCAGGTGAAAGGTCATGATTTCTAATTTCTCATGGTTTACTAATATATCAATATTTACCATGTGACTCATTACCCTATATTAATAAAAAGGAAGATGTTAGGTCTCGTTCATAAAGATATTAGGATGAGATATTAGCAATCTGAATTTATTGTAATTAGATTCTGTCAAGAGTTTTTGCTCTAAAACGTCAAAAAGTATATCTGATTCAAGTTTGTGATTGTTATTTATGATGGCATGTCTTTTGTAAGAACTATTATTATTGTCCTCTTTCAAGTTTAGGTTCTCCAAAATGCTCAAAGAAAAAAATATTTTATACACTAATTCCCATAATATCTCTTATTTTACAACATTAATAAATGTATGTAATTTAGTCATCAAAATAGTAACTGAGAAAAACAGAAAAGAATGCCCTTTATTGTGTCTACTGTTCAAGGCATATTCAGTTACCTGCTCAAAGTATTTTCCGATCATTTTTGCAACAGAAGGAAGCTTGGAGACAACTTTAGATTCAGAGTAAACAAAGGTCAACTGACTTCCAGCTTAATCTGCTTTTACTATAATATACTAAAGGGATGCCATATGACACATATTTAACAAGGCTGTTGAAAAAAAAGAAAGAAAACTCCTAATGGAATCTTACACTGTCTCAATAGTTTTGTTGTATTGTAGATAATTAGATATTACAATACTGTGTCCATTCTAGGTCTCCTCATTTCAAGGCTGGCAATGAAAAATGTAAGCTGGTTCAGAAGACAGTAACTGGATCAAGGAAGGCTATTTGGAAATCAGGCCATAATATGAGCATTAAAGGAAATTAGCAATACAAACCTCTGAAGGATTTTTTACATGGACATTATATGCAGCTACAAAAGGAGAACGCTGTTTATTGGGTAGATGTGAACAGAGTAGAAAACAGAACCTTCAGTGACTAAGAGGTCTACAAAATGGAAGAGACACATTCTGAAGTAATGAGTTCCCCAACACTGAAGCATTACAGTTGAGGCTGGATAAAAAAGCTTGTTAGGAAAATCATAGGAAAGAGAGCTACAATGCATAAGATATTATATTAGAAGACCACTGACCACCGAAGTCCTTCCAATGCAAAGATTCTATGACTATTCCATGTGAGATACAGGCAACTAAAAGAAAACTTATGCTTTCCTGTTACAAGGCGAAGAGAAATAATTATTGATTTAGGACAATTTCTTTAAAACATTCTGAAAAGTTTTAAAAACTGTATCTTTTAATACACTGTTACAATACCCAAATATTTTGCATATAATATAAATATGCCAGGAATTATGAAATGAGCTTTCACATTAGTTCTTAGTCCGATGAGGCAGATATCATCATTATTTTGAAAAAGATTGCATCCAACATCTGCCAGGTGAAAAAGCTAGGACACTTCTCTTTATGTTTCACATAAAAGACTACCAAGAACAGAATAGCTTTTTGTGGTTCTGTCAGTTTTAGTTTTCACATTGAGATTTTCAAAGATAAAAATCAATCATACTATTTTACTGTACATTTATCAATACAAACATGGACTTAGTAAACCATTTAACATAAGCCAAAACATTTGCCTCCAAACTAAAATCAAACTGAAGACAGAAACTTATCACCATCTTGCAAACCTTTAAGTGACTTAAACTTAAAGCTCGAAAGATGCTGAATATGTAACTTAAATAACTTGGGATGTCTTTTATAAATTCCATATATATTAAAATTGTAGTGCTAAATGGTCTCATAATCTCAGGTCACCCCCTTGGCCGTAAGGAATTTTACACCTTGGTTAAGCCAAGGATTAGTATTACTGCAGGTTTCATTTATAGAATGTACAAAAATGTATATAGCATTCTACTAAGTACTTTATAAATATGAACTAATGTAGTCCTCAAAACAACCATATAAGATACAATTATCTTCATCCCCACTTCTCAGATGAGGAAACTATAGCACCAAGTACAGTAATTTAATTGAAGTCTTGGAGCTTGTTGGCAGTTCACAATGATAATCTGCCTCTTCCCATGCACAGCCTCAAATAAGAACCCTGACTTCTGATAAGGGCTCTGAAGCTAGAGGTGGGATATATCATATAAACTCACTAACCCTCCACAGATTTGATTTCCAAATCAGTTAAAACTAGACCCTGTATAATAACAGCAGAAATGATGACATCTCTTTCTAATCATTGTTAAATAATAATCGAGTTTTATATAACTATGGACACACAAGTCCAAAATGTTAATTTAAACGGCATACACATCATAAAATTTCCTTACCTTCCTAGTTCTTTCGATGTAAGTGTATAAAAATTATTAAAGTTTTCCATTTTTATTGGAGTTTGAGGAGTTGTAGTTAGCAAGCCTGAAATACTTCGGCAATCAAATCTTCTCCTCGACATGGTAGATGACTTCCAGATATGCTTCTGTAGTCACTTATTTGTACCTATTTAAAAAAAAAAGAGAAGATAAAGGATATAACTTAAATCTAATTAAGAAAAAAAATGTTACTTATCTGAGACAGAATGTGCATTACATTATACAGCTCCAAAGATAACTATAACATATAACCAAAAAGAAGATTTAAAGAGCACATTCATTCTACCCACAAGGTAAAAAATTAAAAAGCGCACACATAAACTGGTATTACCTCTACAGCACTTGAACTAAGTTACTGACTTCTTTTATGAATAATACTATAAGAAACCTGTAAGACTTACAAAATTCTCTAAAAAATAGTTCAACAAAATTTTAATACAAGAAATCATTCGATTTCATTTTTAAACTTTCATTCTTTAAAGTTCTAGCTCCATAAAACAAAATAATGAACACAGCGAGGTAACGACTATTCACTTTAAATTTCTCACGGCCAAACAAATTTGATGGTAAATTCACCTTTTTTGACTTATATTACTGACATCTGAATGACTACAAGAAATAGAACTTGTTTCACAGACTGTCTACATTCCAGTACTAAATCCAGAAACTTTCACATTCTTAGAATCTTTCTTCCTTTTGTCAGTACCCAGCACAGAGCCTGCCGTGTATGAAGAGCTTTATAATTTTGTAGGATGAGTGACTGACCATATAGAAAGCTTTACTCTAGAGTCGTGATTTACATCTGAAGCTCATATTTATCTGGAACTTTGTAATATTTACATGTATTCAGTTTTAACATCAAAACTACATTTCACATTAACGAAATTTACAGAATAGCAAACTATATATTTTAAGATACTTCTGACTTTCAGTTATGCCTATCTAATAAATAAAAAATCCAGTATTATTCTTTTAGCATCTTCTTATAATAATCCCCTAGGCTTTTGTTCCTTCTCCGCCACATTTTTTCTCCCTTTATTTCTAACTTAACATGTACTGTTTCTTTATCTTCCTAAATCCAAATGTCAACTATACTCAACTTAGTAAATAAGCAAAGTGATTAGAGCTCGGTGTTTGTTTCTCTATTTTCTCAAGTTTAGTCTTAAGTCTGCAAAAATTTTTTTCTCTAAATCTCTTGGGTTTGGGGGAAACAAAGCCTTAATTAATTTTGGGGTAGTGAGTTAAATAATTTAGTTAGCTAGTATGAAATTTAGTTAGCTGGTATGATGGATAAATGGGAATTATGATCCATCATATCAGTTAAGTAAATTATTTAACTTTGCTACTGTTATGGGCTAAATTTTATCCCTCTCCTCAAAATTCATATGTTGAAGTCCTACGCCCCAGTATCTCAGAAAATGACTTTATTTGGAGACAGGGCCTTTAAAGAGGTAATTAAATTAAAAATGAGGTCATTAGGGTGAGCCCTAATCCAATAGGACTGGTATCATTACAAAAAGAGGAGAGGACATTAGGACATAGAAACAGAGGAAATACCATGTGAAGACATGGGGAGAAGGCCATCTACAAGCCAAAGGGAATGGCCTTAGAAGAAACCAACCACGCTAACATTGATGCCAAACTTCTACTCCCCAGAATTGTGAGAAAATAAATTTCTGTTGTTTAAGTCACCCAATCTGCAGTAGTCTGTTATGGCAGCCTAGTAAACCAACAAAGCTACTTAAAAATAAACAAATAACTATTTCAAACATATAGGAAGGGATACAAATATCACATAACAAACTTGTTTTTTTCAATCTTCTTACTTTGCCATATTTTGTTTAAATTAAAAATAAATAAGACATTATAGACACAGTTGAAGTCTATCCCTTCTTTTCCATCCCCAGTTTACATTCTCACTAGCACTGGGTGGGAGGGTTTATTATTTCCTTGCCAACATTAGCTCTGTTCAGACTTTTAATTTTTGCTATTCCAAGTGTGATAAAGGTGAATGGAATTTTGAATTTACTTTGCATTTCTCTAATTACTAGTGAGGAAAGCTTCAATTCTGCTTCCTCTAAAGTATGGATGATAATAGCATCTATCTTGCAGAGCTCTAAAGATTAAAAATTAAAATATAATGAACTCATGCAGAATGACACTGGCACAATGCTAGTTTTGAGACTATATCATGATTGTTCAACACATAAATATTGTTAATATTCTACCCAAAGATACTCTCCATACAGTCCTCTGCCATTATTCAGTAGCTGTACTCTGTTTCCATATTAAAACTCTCACTCAAGTTAGTTTAAATTCAACTCTTAAAATTCTGTCTTTTCTGTTTTGATGAACTATTTGTTTTTAGTTCTGATGGTACCCAGTTTCACTGGTCACATATTCTTCTCTGAAAAATCAATACAGTTATCAATTTCTAAGCTTGATCTATTTTTTTTCTAGATCATCTCTGGGCTTTTACAATTTTTTTTTCTAAATTTAAAAGTCTATGAATATGTATGTTTATGATCACATTTATGCTATACACACATATAGAGAGAGAGAAGGCATGTATGTGTATCATGGGTAAGAATTGGGCTACATTCTCAATACTGTTCATCAATCAGGCCCTGGGAAACATGAAAACAAGAACATATCAAATTCAATCATAGAGAGAGAGTAGAAGCTCTTGATTCTAAGATGTTCACCTCATCTAGATTTTAGAATTTAAGATGTTATATTATGCTATAATATACCTGCCACAAAGTGATTTATTCATAAGAACTCTAGGAGAATTAAGATATTTAAGTATTTTCTGCTCTCAAGTTTCAAGAGTCAATATGGGTCTTAGATGTAGTCAAAGATTTATCTTCAATGAAGATTTATAATAGTAAAAGAAATAATAACTTTGTTGAATGAAGGAACCCGAGTCCAACAATAGGGAAATGGTTAAATACACTTAAATAATAGAATATTATATACTCCAAATTGTGCTTTCAAAAGAATCTTTTTAACTCATATAATATTAAGTGAAAAAAAAAAACATAAAAATTTTATATACAATATGATAATTTTGTGGGAAAATATTAAAGCAAATAGAAAAAAAGACTGGAAAACTATGGCAAAATGTTACCAGTCATTATCTTTGGGTGGTGGATTATGGCAGTCTTTACACTTTCCTATGTTTAAGTTATCTACACTAAGCAGGTACTACACTTTAATAAAACACACCTCTTTACACATTCAGTGTTTACTTGGCTGGAAGTTCAAAAGCCATTATTGCTCAGGTTTTTTAAGGCCTCAATGTTTTCTCTGCATTTAGATAGAGCAGATAGTTGTTCATTACCCAAATAATATGTCTGTTCTTATGCGAGACCATATAAGCATTTAGGGTAAATACTAAGCAAGAATTAATGCCTTGTTTAATACTGCATAGAAAAAACAATTTAAGAAATTCTGAATTAATGTTATAGTTATAATTCTATATAATTAATAACAATTTGTAACCTCAAGACATATACCTTTATTATAACTCACTTGTGAAAATTCAGACTCATCCTGGGACTCCTCTAAAAAATATTCAAAATGTGATAGCCAAATATACTGTTAAATACTGTTTTATAATACCTATTTTTTACTTATATTAGAAGGAAAAATAACTTTTTTTTAAATAAAAATAAATGAAATGGCTTAATAATAATATAAGTAGGGCTTTATTACTCAGGTTACTTACTAGTATCTCCTAATACAGGACATAGGCTTATATTTAATTATTACCCTAACAAATTTTTCTTCCCTCACATGTACTGTTTGGTCATCATAATGAATGACTATACAACAAGTATTTGTATGACTATAAATGTAGTTGAAAACAGAATTAGGCAATCAGTAGTTTTTAAAATACATATAAACACAAAAAATCATTGTTTGAGTTCCGACACATTTTACCATGGCTCTAAATACACTGGAACACAAGCCATATCTTAGAAAAAAAGAAAGCACAATTCTGAAGATTAAACCTTAAATATATCTACTTATTGCTATTATTAAACAGGACCTATATTACAAACTGCTTTAGGAATCCACATAGCATTCCTTAAGTGCACTTTCCTTTAATTTACTGCACTTGAATCAGTGGCCACAGCCTAGATATTCTTCCATTTCCTCTCATTTGGCCAGTTTTACATATATTAGAGCACGACTGCCATCTTTATCCACCAAGCCCTCCACAAACATCTGGTTGCCTTCATGGAAGATTTAATCTTTGGGCACATGAAGGTTATCAGTTATCTCTCCTTGCATCTTCCTAAATTTCCCACCAAATTCTCTTTAACTCCAACAAACAATCCCAGACCTTTTCTTGTTTTCTATCACAATTCACAGACCTACAACTGATTCTAAATCACCAGTACATCTCACTCTATTTGAAATTCACTTCATAACACTTTATTAGGCTATACTAATAAAAAATAAATCTTAAGGGAGTTAGGTAAATGTGTGTGTGTGTGTGTGTGTGTGTGTGTGTGTGTGTGTGTGTAGGTACACAATCAGACACAATTAGGCGCTAGAAACAGTAAAAGGGTTATAGAAGGCAAGATAACGATTAAGCTTTCAATTACATAGTACTACTAAAAATAATGGTATCTCATTATTTTCAAAGATTTTTTTCATTAACCCCCATTACAATAATTACAATAAAAATTCAAATATGGATCAGTGAAGGACGGAACATAAGGAAATGTTAAACTTGATCTGGGCCATAACTCACTTGAAGGGAGAAAGCAAATATGATGTGATCAAGACAAGGAAATAATCCCTGTAAACTTCTAAATAGCTCTATTTAAAAATATTCATCATGACATTCATTTCAAACAAAAATGCTTTATTAAAATAGACTATATCATATACAATAAATGAAAACATCTAGAGAATTAAATTGCCTCCTTTGATCTCTCCATTGGCTACCCCAAACCTACAAGCTAAGTCCTTATAGCATAATACACAAAAACCCTTGAGGCCAGGAACTGGGCTTCATTTCCTGTCACACTCATACCTCATATTTTGCATCCACATCTCTGTTATACTTTCTGCCTGAAACATTCTCTCTACCTTTCCTTAAATGGCTAACTTTTCTTATGCATCCTTCATATCTCAACACAGCACATCCTCTGCCCCCAACCTCCCCCACCCCAGCCCGGAAGCTTTGCCTAAAACCCACAGGTTGGGTTAAGTGATTCTTCAGTATGCTTCAAAAAGAGCATACCTCTTTACTTCAATATCTAACATGTTAGACTGCAATTATGTTTAGTGTCTAAAAGGTAGCAACCATTTACTTTTGTGTCTAAACTCCCAGCCTGGTATAAATTTAAAAATTTTTTTATTATAAGAATTCTAGGAATTAGGAAATACAGCCAAGAGGAATTTTTAGGTGTATCTCATCTCATCAAGGGTTTTTGCAGAACTTAAGATGCGTCTTGAAATTATAGTATTGGAGGTTCGAATGCAGCTAGTCTCTGTTTAATTCAGTGTTTGGCTAAATAAAATAGGGTATATTTTAAATTGTTATTAATTTCAATTCTAAACAGGATATCCAAAAAGTCTGGAAATATGGATAAAATTACCTTATCGTATATTGTAATGCAATAACAATAGGCCATTTATTTTGTATTTACCTGTCTTTCCAGACTAGGTGACCACCTGTTTTTATATAAATACATACTTCAGCTAAGGACATCAATATTTTAAGAGCTACTTCAATCAGGAAATTCAGATACAGTCCTGTTAAGGACTGATTAATCTAGATCTTCATGAAGTACATTTGAAAGGCAATGGAAAGCATGATAGATCTTACAGTAGGACCTAGGAACCACTGTTTTGAGGGAACTCTTGCTATTATATTTGTTTGGTCCTTAGTACAATTAAAATTTGGACAGATTTATTCTAGTTAAGCCATAAGTGTCAACTTGTAAACTTGTTTGATTAAATAATTTAAAAAAGACAACGGAAAGCAAAGAGAGGCACAAGACTGATTACAGGGAAACAACTCCTTTCTATGTCGGCATTTACAGCTACCAAGGTTTCCCTAGGAAACAGAGGAATTGAAGATTTATCTAGCATCTTTCAAAATAGTGTGGCAGAAGGATCATTTTTAATATCACTGATTAGAAGTAAAGGTATTGGTGTAAGCATAGGGATGATGATGATTTCCAATTTCACAGAAGAGACTGTATTCCTTACATATATTCTACTGTTTTATTTTATTTAAGATTGAATAGAAAGCATAATTCAAGAATTTATTCTTTGAAAATCACACCAGGAAACCAGCTAACTGACTCTAGTCCAACCAATCTAGCATATGGTACCCAAGAGAGGAAGTCCCAGGTAACAACATCAGGCCCAATTCTGTGCCGGGACAGTAAGGCCTGGTATCCCCTCTTCTACCTTCAGAAGAAGGATCAAACCCTATAATTGTGAATAGTACAGGAAAATGTTGCAAAATGGAAATACACTGGGCCAACAAACATACAGCGCTTGTCATTCATCAGATGAAAAATTTAAGTTTCTGTTGTAAAATAGAGTACTGTTTACTTATATTATCATGAAGTTCTGTTTATTCAGTAACTATTCCAATGCAAAATGGATTATGGTCCTTTAAGGATTAAAGATGAAGCTATCAACTCACTGTTAATATTAAAATTTTTAAATACTTAAAGTATAACTACGCCCTCTTTTGAGGAAGAAGTTGCAAAGGGTCAGGGGTACACCAAAACATGTTGCATGTAAATATTAAAAGAAACAGACCAGTTTAGATGTTTAAGGTGGCATTGAAATTCCAGGTTAAATGTATTTGGGAGGAAAAAAAAGATAAATAAATATAAATAAATAAATAAATAAATAAAATTTAACAAAATATGTTTTGAAAATTAAAATGTTTATCACAACATATCTAAATAAAAATGTGTAACTTAATTTATAAGTACATTTGGTTATTGTAATATTCAAAGAAATCTCCTTTAATTATAGTCTATCGTAGAATATAAACTACTTAAAAATAAAACCATTGAATTTTGTCATCAATATTGTGGCAAACTAAAGCAACTAAAACATTTAAAGTTTTCCCAAGTGGAAAGGAAGTACATAAATGATCATTAATGTTTCTGACACAATCAATTCCCGCAAAAATGCAAAAGAATTAAAAAAATAATCCAAAAAACAAGAATCAATCAAAATCTTTTAAAAGCACTGTTCTTTTCAGCTGCCAATTTTATAGACAAGAAATATGCTCTACAATATAACATATGTGCAATTTTGAGGCAATTTTAGGATTAAGTGAAAGTGTTAGCGATGGATTTCCTTGATTCTTGGGCTTTAAATTGGGATTCTGAGATCAAAACAGAAATTTTTGATAAGGAAATTCTCTCATAATTAACAAACAGCTTCAGAACAAAGTTTTAAAATGTTTTAAATGCTTACTCAACAACAGTAAAACACTGTGCAAGCTTAAAAATAAAATTATTTGATTAGAAACATGCCATAAAATGCCTGTATCTTCTTCAAACTTGTTAATGTGCTGACACAGTGATCAATTAGTCAAGTCTCAACTTTCTTTAAAAACTGATTCTATCTTAACCAAACTGTAATTCACCATTCAATGAGCCCAAGGGAAATCGCAACCATTCTGTCCCCACAAAAAAGGAATTCAAATTATTACAAATTTTACTTTTAAAACTCAAATATATTACCATGTAAATATATTTTACTTCAATTTTGGATCCATAATTTAGAAAAAATTTTAAAATGTATGTGTACCTCAAAAATAAAGCAGCTATAATTCCAATTACTAAAATATTAGAAAAAAATTTTTAATTGA